TTTTATAATTCGGCATATTTTAATAACTTGCCTATATTGCCACTCTTCTGCAATCAAGTCAGTTAGTTACAAATGAAGCAACCTCTGTTTATCCAGGCAAGCAAACTTTTGTAGATCAGACAAAATTACTATCTGCAGGTAAATGAAAAGTGTTAAGTGGAGAATGAGATCTTCTTCCCAGTTTGTTTTTTTTTTGAAAAGCCTAAACAGTAAAAGCATCTGCATCAGCCCCCTCAGTAAAGGCTTCTGTACTGAGCACTTTTTTGTGGTTCTTGGTCTTTGTGGGGTGTCAGATGATTTCAGGCATTGCATGTAATTACTTTGGAAATAATTACACGAACAAAATAACAGACTTAAGGAAATACATTACAGGAGGAGATGCAGTACTTTCTTTAAAGAAAATGTTTTTTTTTAAAAAAAAAAAATAATTATAAAATAAAGGTAACTATCTTCCACAATATTTTGGTGCTGAAAGTCTGACATTGATTTTAACTTCTTCTGAAATGAAATAGTGAATCATTGTTTTATAGAGCTTTTCTGGGGGAAAAAAAAATGAAGAGAGTATAGGCTAAAAATCATGTGAAGGAAACTAATGCTTTTTCCTGTACTGTGTGCTCCTTAGTAGTTACAATAAGATTTTGAGTCATGGGTGGCGGAATAGCCATTGCTCCTCAATTGAACTTTGAATTTTAAGTGTCCTAACATCGATAGATCTTGAGAATATGAGCATCGTGACTTTTGAACCTGAAACGTACTGTACTTCGAGGGCTGTGAAAGCAGGGATTAAATACTTGTATAAACAGTTCAAGAGTAGTATGTCTAATTGCAAAGTATTCTCTTTTTTTGATTGTAAAGCTCCAGATAGTCTGTACACAGGGTAAGGTGTAGAGGAAAAAAAAAAGGCCTTTGTGTCCTGCTTTTGAAATGTGAGGGTGGAGGGCAGGGGAAGGTACTCATTTACAGTTGCCTGTAGTTTAATAGGTCCTGGCAATTGTTTTGACCATGATCTTGGCATAAGCAGCTGTGTTGCCTACTACCATATAGTGGTTCAGTGGGGGCTTGGGAGGGGGCTGGGGTGATGTACGGTGAATTCTCCTTAGTCCATTAATGAAATAAGTGGGCAAAATAATCTTACTATTGGAAAAAAAACCACCCTTAGATATGATGTCTATACTTTTAATGTTAAATGTTGTTACAGGTAACATTTAAATACATAGAGTAAGTAATGCTTTGAAACAGACGTTTTCTGTTCCCTTCTGAGTGTTTTTAGCTTGGTTTCTATGGCAATGAAACCTATGCAGAGTGTCAGGCCTCTTTTTTTCCCCTGTCTCCAAAAATAACTTCTAAATTTACCAGCCAGCAGAAGCCAAAATTAACCGGGAAGGGGGAGGCTCAAAAATAGTTGGGTTCCTACTGGTTTCAAGCAAACTGGTGGCTCCACAGAGCAGAATCATTGCCCAGTGAAGACAAGGCAGAGCTACCACAAGACAAAACGACATAACCACCACTGTCTGCCCTGCTGGCATAGGCAAAATTTCCAGCTTGCTGGGGCAAGTTCTGCTGCTGCAGTTTTGGGTTTTTTGGTTGGTTGGTTTGGTTTGGTTTTTAACCCCAGTGAGTCCCCCCCAAGAGGAGCTGAAGTTACTGCCTTGAGGAGAGACTAGGAGACAGGACGTGAACGAGAACTAACCAAAGCTGGTTTCTGTTCATGGAACAACTTGTGTTTATTATTCTAGCTCTAAATACTCAAGCTGCTTAATCACTTCTTGTGCTTGTTATGATGGGGTATTCTGTAAGGAGTCTTATGATTTTTCTTTTAAGCTACTGCATTAGGATAACCTTGATGCCTTTCAGAATTCCGGAAAGGTCTGCATAGTAGAAGACAGGATGAATAGAAATGCTTGGTCCCTAAATAGGAGTCCTACAAAATGCACTGAAGGGCATAACGGGACTCTTTTGTATGGAGCCCTTAGGATGGAATTTTTCTGTTTCCTAACTGCAATAGTTGAATGACTTAACTTGGTCTTTGAAGGCAAGAAGTGCATGTTCTTCTCCCATCCTCATGCTACCTCCATTGTTTGTAGCTGTTAGTAAATTACAGATAATTTGGAGGAAAGTAGCTTTCAAAAAAGCATGCAGAAGACACGAAATTAATTTCCTCTCTAGTGGCAAAGTGGGTTTTGAGCAGTAATACGCTCTTTGACCGGTGAGGTGCTATGGATCTTTGTGTGTCTTCAGGGTAGAAACAGCACACGCTATGGCTTGGAAGGGAAGAAAAGTTTCAGTGATTGAAGAGGAGGGCGAAAGGAGAGGAAGAATGTAGGTAACAGACAGAAATCCATCACCTAGGCTGCTTCCCCTGCTTGTAGACCAGGTTGTTGTGGTGGGGTAGTCGGAACTCCACACACATCCCAAATGAGGGTGGGTGTACCAGCCATTAGCGTAAAAGTATGCCAGTAACGTTCTGTTATTTGTCTCATTGCTAATCAAATGACAGTTTTATTTTAAAATGGTTTTATTTTAGCTATATCCATTGCAAAACTAGATTTTTCTTGTGAATGATTGCATTTAATTTGGAACCGTAGCATTTATAGCTCTCAGGCTGTTTTTCTGACCTGCTCGACCTCTTTAGAGTTGAGTGGTTTGTGTTCTCACTTGCTTTCTGTATCCCTAAATATATTAAGCTATTTTTAAGTGGCTTTGTTTTCTTTGACCTTAACTGCTCTAAATGGCTATACATATTCCTCAGGTTACTACTTCTTCTGGATCACTGGTCAGCCATTAAATGACCTGATTGCTCAGTGCCCCAAACCCCTCAATAACCCCTATCAGTTCCATTGAAGGTGACTTCTCCTTAATAGTATGTGCTCGTTTGTGTTGTGCCTGTGTGTATATATATATATACACTTACATACATGTGTGCATATGTATGTAGTTTATATGTGTAAGTAAACCCTTTAATCTTTAAGCTATAGTTCTTTGAATACAGTATTTGGAGGGACTCCTGAAAAAACGATGAAAAATGCTTCAGCAAGTAACTTTATTACTTTTTCAAATTTGACACATTTAAAGAGAAGAGTGTGATAGAAGCCATATGAGAATTGCATGAAGTTGTTCTGTCGCACTGACTTCTTTTGAAGCATTTTCTGTTTGAACTATCTTTTCAGTTTACCTGCCTACTATTGAAGTGTCTTCTATAGTTGTAACTCCTGCTGATATCCTTAGTTTTTCATTAGAAAGAAAAGCACAGAATTTGTAACCTGCAGAACCTGGAACATAAACCAGTAGTCTGCCCTTGCCACAAAGGTGGCTAAACGGTACCTTGGGCTGTGCTAGGCAAAGCATTGCCATTAGGTTGAGGGAGGTGACCCTTCCAAACCTCTGTTCAGCATTGGCCAGGTCTGGGCTTCCCAGGACGAGAGAGACATGAACAAGCTGGAGAGAGTCCCATCAAGATGATGAAGGAGGGCCTGGAGCATCCCACATGAGGACAGGCTGGGAGAGCTGGGACTGCTCAGCCTGGAGAAGAGAAGGCTCGGGGGGGGGATCACAGCAGTGTGTATAAATACCTGAAGGGAGGGTGCAAAGAGGATGGAACCAGGCTCTTTTCAGTGGTGCCCAGTGACGGGACCAGAGGCGATAGGTACACACAGAAACACAGGAGGTTCCCAAGTTCCTTCTGAACATCAGGAAACAGTCTTTTTTTTTTTTTTTTTCATAATATGAGGTTGACAGAGCACTGGCACAGGTTACCCAGAGAGACTGTGGAGCCTCCATCCTTGCAGATATTCAAAAGCCATCTGGACATGATCCTGAGCAACCAGCTACCTAGAGGTAGCCCTACTTGAGCAGGGGGGTTGGACCAGATGACTTCCAGAGGTCCCTTCCAACCTCAACCATTCTATAAACTTCGATATACTCTGGATATAAAACGATTTTGGTGTGAACGTTACACTACTTAACAAGCGTTCTTTCTTCTCAGAATGTGCTTTTTCCAATAATCTGATTTTATGTTGCCTAATAGGAAATTAGAGTAGTTGTATTCTTGAAATTTTTGTTATTGAAATTAAAATTATAGTTTTCTGCAGGTTGTTCATAGAAACTACCAATTTGCGGTTACAGAATTCTTTTTTCAGATATGTTCAGCTTACTGATCTTATTTTCTGCGTTTTAAATATGGTGCTTCAGCAGTTGCCTTCCAGGCATCTTGTCTTGTAGTTTACACTAGTGGGAACTAGCATTTTTTTGTTTCATGCTAGTATTCTTTCTTCTTAAAGTTTGATTCATATTCTAAACACTATCAAGTTAGCTAAAATAATAAAAAAAAACCTTATCTAAGAAAATTTATTAGTTGCTGGATCTGAATGCCACACTTTTAATCAACATTCTTGCTTATCCAAACTCTTATTTCTGTATATGCTTAACTGGAGATTTCCTTTTAAAACTGCATTTTAAAAAAACCCAACAACCAAGAAAACCAGCAACGTAAAGTTTTATAGGGAAAGGATTCTTTCCAGACTGTAAAGAAAAGCAGAATGTTTTGAAAAGTCTCGGAATTTAAGCGGAGAAACTCTCTGACAAGATGCAAGAGTATAAAAATCCCAGTTGCAGAAGGAGAAGTGTGTGTCTCTTTATTTGTTCTAGATTAATACAGTAAAAGTTAGTGTTGCTCACCTGTTTGTATTTTAAAAGAGGTTAATACATTTTATGAATGTATTTAAGAAAAAAAATGTAATGGTATTAAAATATTCCTATACTAGAAAGTATTTTATGGTCAACATTTTCCCATATAGTAAAGATTAAAAACCCCAGCTTTTTTTTAACGCTCTGAATATCACCAATGAGAAGAAATTCATTCTGGGGATTTCGGGGGGAAAGGCAGTTGAGATTATCTTTAGCTGTTTGCTGAAAAGGATTTAACTGGACCACTTAAAGTAGTCACATGCTGTTTTGTACATAAATTTTGTGTGGTTGAAGAGTAATCTTCTCTCTTTTTGAAGATGGTTCTGCAAGTACTAGGTTGTCATGGAAAGCATTCCCTGCATGCATCTGAAATCTGTGTGTTTTTCTTCTAAGCTTCACAATGAGGATGACCCCCCGGAGTCTTCGGCGGCTGAGCAGCCTTCCACGTCTACAGAGACTACGCAGACTCCCCAGACAGCAGCCTTATCAGAAGCAGATACTTCCCCTCCACCTTACTGTAGCATAGCTGTAGAAGCAGCTGCAAACTCAGGTATTTTTCTTACATAACAGCTTGTCAGGGAGGAGTGTATATGAATCAGCACTTGGTTCAAAGTGGTACGATGCTGCGGCGTGGGTTTTGAGTCTTGGTTGGTTTGGTTATTTTTTTACGCGCACAGTTGCAGTAAAAAAGCTATGCTTTCATGCACAGCCCTTTGTCTGGCTTGTTCAGAAGCAGCACACTTCTAAATTACACTAATTGTTCCAAATTGCTAGACTAAATGGATGTTCATTAATTAGTGTAATAGCTTTTATTTAAGTCTGCATGTAGTTCAGTTCCACATTTAATCTACATCTTTGAGTAGTGCTCCATTATTAGACCTCATTAGCAATTTTCATTGCCTCTTTATTAAAAAAAAAAAAAAAAGCACTGATTTGCCAAAACTCAAACTTCTTAAGTGTGTGCCATTGTTTGGTGAAAATATTGCCATGAAAAGATTAATTTTGCTTTAAAGGCTCTTGTTAAAACTCCTTGTGGAAAATGAATGACAGGGGTCTTTTTCTCCATTTATTCACTGCTCCATTTCTCATGAGATCGTGACTTCTCTTTGGGGTATGGGAGATGACAAGGCAACATCCAAGTCCCTGTGTGAGCAAAGTTGCTTGGATTTGCGTCTCCCATGTGCCAAATAAGTATTTTAGAAGTAACCTCCAGTCTAATTTTTTTAACGTTGATTAAAGGAGCAATTTCCTGTCCCTGTTCTTTGAGACAGTGTTTACAAGTATAATACGTAGCTATACAGAATTATCCCTATATATAACATCTTCGTGGTGGTGTGTTGAGAAATCTTTTTACCATGTGACCTGTGCTGACAAATCTTTACCACATAAGCAATCTTGTTAGAAACTCCGCTGGCTGTAGGAGGAAGCGTGAGGTACGTTTTACATAGTTTTTATTCATTTTGTTAATAATTTTATTCAATATGATGATGTTTTACTATTTCAATATGTAAGAATGAAGTCTCTGATCCATTTTGATAGAAGGAATGTCTTTAAAAGAATGTGGTGAAACTGAAATCTTGGAAACACTAAGTTTACAGAAGAACTGGAGATGGCAGCAAGGCCATGCTAATAAAAATACAGTATGATTATTACTGGACTTAGGTAACTAATTGATGTTGATAATTAAAAATTTTTTTTAGGATGTTTCTGTGCATGTCTCATATGATTTGATAAAAAGCCTTTGGTTGGAATGTCTAAGGAAGTAACTCAGCAAATACAATTTTTTGTTCATAAATTTGTTGGCTCCTTGCAGCATCTAGATTGAGGTTTCTGCCTTGAGTAGCAACTAAAAGCACCATCAAGCTGTTCACTAATTTATTTTATAAAAATCAAGGTTTTTTTTTTTAAAAAACTTAAGAGAACTTGAAATACAAATACCAGTATCAGCCTCTGTTGAAAAATACATACTTTAAAGCTCAATAGTTATGTGCCTGTAAAATTGAATATTCTTGACATCGTTCTGGCTTAAAAATGCATAACCTCTTTATTTTGAACAGAAACACACAATGAATTTTATCCTGTACCACCTCCATACAGTGTAGCTACCTCTCTTCCTACTTACGATGAAGCAGAGAAGGCCAAAGCTGCAGCAATGGCAGCTGCTGCAGCGGAAGTTGCCCAACGAGTAAGTGATGCAGTTCTGCTTTATTTCAGTTTTGTGGAACATGTTAGGCTAATCTAATTATTTATAACAATTGGGGCCGTATTATGGCCTATTTATTGAAATATTCTTGGGCTGGTGATTTAAATACTTTGGATGCTTAGGTTTTTTATAGACAGTGGAGGTTAGTTGTAAAGTACTATGAGAAGTGTATCATATTCGCTCTCTTCTGAGGCATAGCTGCTGTCTAAACAGCTTTAAAAGCCAATTTTTTCTCTGTTTTAGTAGTTTATCCGGTATTTTGTCATCTTTTAATTAGGTATCCACTACTAATGTTACTTTGTACAGTTATGACTGATATTTAGTGTTTCAGATGGTAAAAAAAAATAAAAATTAATTAACAAAGTAGACCTTTAGAGAGGAAGGAGAATGCCAACAGTCTGGAAGGGGCAAAACCCCAAATAATGTAGATCTTCTGTAAAAGGAAAAATCCTTGTTTGTTCCATGAAACATTAATAATGAAGTTCAAAGAAAAGTTCCAAGTACTTAAAACAAACCATGAGTTATGGTAAACAGTAAATTAAGGAATAGGTATGTATCAAGCGTTCATATTTTTGTAAGAGTTAACATTATAAAGAATACAGTCTTCAAAATAGAAAATTGGTATCTGCAATTAGTGTTAAATGTTAGCTTTGTAACATCAAGTGTTCCTATTTTTGTAAGAGTTAAATTACAAAGAATACAGTCTTCAAAATAGAAAATTGATATCTGCAATTAGTGTTAAATGTTAGCTTTGTAAGCAGAGTTCTTCCATTTTTTTTCTCCCGAGTTTTGGAATGTGGAAATTCTGCCATTTGGTAGTATTGGTAATATACCCAGATTAGGCTTCCAGTGCTTTCACTAAAAATCTCTGCTTTGAGATCAAAGGTAATTGCATTTGAGATGCAAGTCTTACTGACTGCAGTGTGCTTGTGACTGGAAAAAAAATTCTGCTCCCCCAGCAGGAGACTGTTCCTTCCTTGACTGTTGTGCAGTGGTCACAGTGTACAACACTCACTTTAAGGTACACGCAGCTAAAGTTAAAGTGAATTTGTGTAACATCGCCAGTGAAGGTGTTACGCAGATCTGTTTTACAAAATGCAGTAGGGAACAGGGGACATTGGAATGGTTACTTGCCAAGTTTCCACTATGAGGTGATGATCTCCATTTGTAAACTTCTAACTGCTTTAACAGGAACATGGATTCTATGTAGTCTCTCCTTACTGCTTGTCATGTAAGAAAGACTTTTGTTGAAATACTCGTTTAAATGAAACCCTCAATCTGAAATGAAAAACCTTCAAACTTATGTGGAACCCAAACCTTAACTTTTTGGGTACCATTACCAGTCCTGTGATGCTTCAGACAGGACATGTGCAACTCTCTTGCAAGATTCTTATTGCTTTTAACTTTGTATGTCTAGAACCCTGTGAGGTGAAAGTTTTAGACATACAAGCAATCTTCCTTGATCTGAATTTCACAGGGAAAACCTCAGACTGGGGTTCAGCAAATTTCAAGAACAAAGCTAGGCAAATAAATAAATAAAAAATAATCAGTGTTGTTTGCCTTGTAATTTTAAGCTTTTTTTACTTCAGAGAACTCTTTTCTCACAAGTTCAGGTCACCATAGCAGAAACATCTTTTGCCCTTCCTCAGAAAGTCTGCCTTGTTTTGGCCAAATTACAAGTGTTTTGAAAAATGGGTTTCCACAGTTGATACATGCAGCTTGAAATGTAGTAAATGTGTGGAGATTGTCCTGCTTTAACAAGTTTAGACTGCTCATAGCTCTAAGGGGGATGGGACTGCAGATGTGCTGTCCCCAGAGAACATTCTCAAATGTTCTGTATCACAGTACGACTGTGGGACTAAAAGTCTGCTCTTGTCTGCTTTTGGTGAAAACACTGGAACCAAGAAATAGGAATTTCTGGTGTGCCCTGAAGTAGTTTTATATTATTCTTAGCCTTTGGTTAGAAGGGAAGGGGAAAGCCACTTGATTTAACTGCAAAGGCGTCAGTGGTAGGTGGAGGGAAGAAGGACAATGGCTCTGAGCCTCTGAAGCTTACGTGTTGTGGGAAGAAAAGTCTGGGTTCGGTTGGGCAAGGAGGTAACTGGCTCAAAGTGAACGCAGGTGGGGATCAGAGAGGATGCGTCTAAGTCAAAGTAAGAAAAGGCAAGGGTGGATGGAGAGCAGTGGTGTGGAGGAAGTACAGAGAGATTTAAATGAGAAAGAGGGAGAAGGATAAGCTGGGGTTGGTGGAGAAAGGAACCCAAGGGGGGACAAAATGTGGTACTGGGAAAGGAGATGAAGCTGGTGTGAGGGAAGAGGAGTAGGGAGGGAGAAGTTAAGAGGAAAGAGAGTAGGATATGGTGACAAAGTGAGTAATAAAATTTTTACATAGTCTGCTTTTCCAAAACGTACAGTACAACTTGATGTTCAAGAACTAGGTGCTGGCACCACAAGAATTTCACTTCTGAAAAATCGGTATGAGCACACCATCATTCCCCCAAAGCAGAGATTAGCTAAAAAGTTGTAGACTTACAGGAGTACTGAGTTAGTATCAGGAGTCTACTCAGTGTACCTAAAAGCCACAGTCCTGATGACTGCTAAAGATCTCAAGTTTGATAGAATTTCTGTTCAGTTTACTTCTGTATTTTGGGGGGGGTATTTTCTTTTTTTTTAAAGCACACGCATACACACACACACAAGCTATGTTAAAGAAACAGTATTAAGGCTGCAAAGTTGAGATTCAGAGAAAAGTAGGAAATGTTGAAGTTGAGTTCCAGTTTTGTAGATGATATTAAAATTATGTGCCAGCGTAGTTTTAATTAATGCCACTTTAATTGCCTTACCACGTGATACTGCCACACAATCCCTGCCTTACTTTATACCTCTGATGGATTTACACTGGAGTGGACTAAGACTGTGTAATAAGACTGTCTTAATCTGGTAGATGACTGGAATAAGAAAAGAAGGTCGTGTTATGGTTAGAGTGATGGTTTGCCATCATAAGTGACTTTAACTTTGCACTACTGGTATGTGGTTAATTGTTTTCTTGCTTTTGCTGCCTTGGAGATCACAAGCAATGACAGCTGCAGACAGTATCTGACTTGTGTATTACACACTTTGCAAAACACACAAAAAAGATATAACATAGTTTCTATTTTCAGCCTAATGAGATTAGTGCTGTCATGAATGCGAACTCTGCTATGATCTGTGCCTCTAGTTTCTTCCTTGTAAAATGAGGATATGTTGCCTCTTCACTACAATAATGTGAAAAGTTGGAAAAAGTTAGATGTCCTTATATTACCTTGACTGATACGTGAAGCTGATAATTGTTTCATGGTATAGTCCAAAGGGTGCAGTAAAGAAGGCTACAAACCTACTCATTAGGCAAAAGAAAGGAAAACTGTTTAAAAAGGCAGCACATTTAATAAACAGGTTTCGTATTTTTTTCCCCTGAATCATGTAGGGATCTTGCAAAAAACATGAGTGTGATCATATTAGACTTCATCACAGGCCCTGCAACCACGGATTGTACAAACAATTTAAACTTAACATTTACTGAAAATTTCAGTACTTGTTTTTGTAGTTCTTCACGTAGCTCACCTAACAAGAATAAATTGTGTATAAACATTTGTTTCATATGCTCCCAGATGGCTCAATGTATCAAAGAAATTGTAGCAGTCCTATGTCATCCGTAGTGATAGCATTAGTTACCCTGGCTTTTGATAATTTCCTTTTCAAATTCTCAAGGTCAGTTTTGAAAGGTCGATTTAAATGGACAAAAATATTGCTAACAGTTAAATGACTTGTTTATATGTTGCAATGAATGGCTTTTACTTAATGCTTTTCAGTTGCATTTGTCTTATGTTTTTCTGTTTTTACATGCTTAGCACGCCCAGTTTAGGGAGTCTAGGAGTCTGTTTGATGAAATATTCCTCAGTCGTCCAGAGGTATGGTATAGTTCTCTCTAGTTTAGACCTTAACTATGAATTTTCCTGCTGGCAAACAAATGCATCTGGGGTTCATTGTACCTTTTTTCCCCCACCATTAACTTCTCCATATCATTTTGTATGCTGAAAGTATCATTTATGGGGTTTATTGAGTAATTTGACCCTTTCCTCAGAAGTTTTTCTCTGTAAATCCACTGCATTGGAAAGAGTTGTATCAGTTGAGTTATCCAAGGGCTTCCCGAAAACTTGGGTTCTTTACTTGATTAAAGGTGGTTGTCTCACTATATGCCATGCTAAGTTTCAATTTGAAAGAGGTTAAAAAGCATTGGGAGGCAGAAACAGTCCTCTTTTTGCAGAATACTACAGAGAGCACTGTAGTTTCAGAGGAGTTAATAGGTTTGACTTCAACAGATGCTGTGCACCATTTGATGTTCTTTTGCTTAGGAACGTTATTCTGTGTGACATGTGATTTGTGTGGATAATACATTTTGCTGCTTAGATGTTTCTCTGGTCATAGGAACAGTAAGTTTTCTGTTTATCCAGATCTCAGAATATTTAGCAAACAAGCATCCTTAACATGGCTAAATTTATCAAAAATCAATATGAGATACTGAAACAGTATTATGTATTTTATAGATTTGTGTGCTTTGTTATATGACAGTCTTCTCATTAAAAATATATATATATAAAATACAATTATTCTCTTTGATGAAAATGTCAATATCTAATAGAAGTATTATTACGAAATTATGTTTAGTTATAAGCATCAGTGGAGAGGACAGTCATTCTGCATTGTCCCTTCTCATTCCTCAGTGAATGGTGGCAAAGAATTATATTTTGAAGAAAGACTGGGGCAGTTGACACCAGCTAGATCAAATGAGAGCACTATGAAAGGCAGACAATATTGAGCAGTGGCCAGTTAGTGTCTTCTACCTGTAGGACTGATCATAAAACCATATAATATTAAATGACGTAGAAATAAGCTGAACATTATTTAAGCACAGGAAACTATTTCATTTCTTAAACATTCTGATAATTTTCATATGTCAGTTTTTGGAGACAGTAAATAGAACTCAGTTTAATATAATTCCCTTTTGACATGGAGTGTGATAAATTACTTTGCTCACAGTACTACTGTGCCTACTTGCAAACATCTGCTCTCATGTCCCTGGGTTGTATATTGACCTGTGTTTCTCACACATGTAAGCCTTAGAGAAGCCTGTGCATATACAGTAACCTGCTAAACCTGTAATTGAGCAAAATTCTCTTTTTCTGAAGCAACCTTTTGCATAGAGCATAATTCACTAATTGGTTTGGAAATACCAGTGTGAAGTACAGTATTTAGCAGACAGTTTTAAAAGAGTCCCAAGAATTTTTTTATATGTGGTTTTATAGACCTTCTGAGATAAACATTGAAAATATATTTTTGATGCCCTGACTTGAAAAAGGAACTTTTGTGGCATACATTTTAGAGATAAGCATATTCAAATGCAGCTCTTTGTTTAATGCATTTTCTCCCTTTCCCCAGCTGTCCCGTAGCTGCAGCAGAGTTGAGCTAAATAAACTAACGCTTTCGTAGTCACTTGAGATGACCATTTAGGGACATCTAATATTACGCAGAGTTGAATTATAGCCACTTAAAATTGTAGTTCAATGAGCTTTTTGTGCTTTCATTGGAATTGTCTAGGTGAATAGCAGTGGTTTTAAAATAAGTTATCCAATACAGGGTTTTGGTTAGTTAATCTGAAATAAAGAGCACAGCTGGAATTTCACGGCCATGTTCCGAAAGGTAAAGCTGGCTGCCTTGAATTGGTACAGTTCGTTCTAGCACATTTTTAACCACACTCACTACACCCTGGTAAATTATTTTGCTGCGTTGACAAAGGTGAACATGTCAATCACATGACAGCGCTTTAGATGGCTGGGATTGTTTAATGCCCTTTTAGTTATGAACTTAATGTACAAAATAACATTTGGTACAGCGACTAAATAATGTGTTAAAATCAGAATTACGTTCTCTCAGGAGTGTTTGCTGTGGGTGAAACAGATTAAGTAAATCTCACTTGAATTGATCTCCCTTGATTCCTTTTTTTTTTTTGTAGGTCATTTATTATCTCAATATATTAGGATTAATTGGAGAAAAAGTAGGAAAAGAATGCTACTCGTGCTTATGTCTAGACCATATTACTGCTGCTACCGACAGCATTATTTAACTTGTATCATCCTGCATTGTTTTGATGTTATTAATTTAAGTATAAAAATGGTTTTACAGCTTTCTTCGGGCTTTATTTAGTAAGTGCTGTCACCATGAAAACTTTTCTGTTTGCCAGTCTACAGTTGCAGCAATGTTTTACTTGAGCACAGAACTCCGTATGTTAAGATCTGCCAGGTTCTCTTGAAAACCAAGTACTGAGCAACAAAGCAAACTCATACTTTCAGTATTTTAAGATCTAGTATTTTGACATGATAGAAGAAATCTTTGACTGACATCTCTGTTTACTTTTGTTTGATTTAAAGTACTGTGCATTTTGAATTTAGAAGACTTTTAAATTTTAATGTGCTCGCGCCCTCTAGTGTCCCCAGAGGTTTTCTTTGCCTATGTTTTTCTGTGGGTTGTAGGGTAGTCAAGTTGGTTAGCGCAGTGCTGTTGCATCAGCAATTTATTTTAAGATACTAACCTTATTCTAATTTATTCTCTATTTTGGGAAGCATTAAAAGACTTTTCTGGCAGGAAAAAAATTAGAACATACTATATAATGATTTTTCCAAAAATATATTGAATAGCTTGGCTGCATTTCAAGGCTGTGAAAGTAAAAAAAAAAAAAAAAAAAAGGTTTCTGTTGGTTTTGATTGTCAAAAGTATTAATCTGAAATAATTTCTAGCTTCATTTAAGATCAATAGGCAGTATGTACATATCTTCTACAGAAACTTTTCAGTTAAATTTGGGCTCTGTCAATATAAGCAACAAATAAGAGTTGTTTTATAGCTATGAATTATTTTTCTTTTAAACTAATTGATGTTACAGAAATGTCAATTTTCTTCTGGCTTTAGAAACATAATTAATACTTTAATCCTACAGATAGTTATTCTAAAATAAACCTTTCACTAAATTATCACTAACCTGTAAATCCAGGAAGAAGAGTATCCACCACGGGATGATTTCAGTGATGCAGATCAGCTTAGAGTGGGCAATGATGGCATCTTCATGTTGGCATTTTTCAGTAAGTTATCTTGTATCCCAGACCTCCTGAGGTATATTTTAATTGTACCTTTTTTCTGTGGAGTATGAAAGATAGCTGTGATAAACTGCATTAATGTACTGTAATGAATGGATTTTTTTTTACATGTACACAGATATAAACACTTCCTGTTCCAGAAGCAGCAAATATGTTGCACTTTTTTTTTTTTCTGTGGCATCTGTCACAGATAAGGGGACAAAGCAAAATCACTGTAAATGTTTTGAGGCATAGCAAGGCTGCACTGTTAACTATGAATTGGGAAATTCTGTCATCTTCTAGTTGGACTACCAACTTGAATTAAAGGCTGGATATCACGGAAATCTGACAATCAATTTTTTAAGTAGAACAAATTTGAGAGAGACACGATGTGCCTTAAAAAGTTGCTGATGTTAGCATAGTGAATTAAATAGCTGTGGGTGGATTTTTGGAACGAATCCAACGACGCTTATTTTTGGGTTGAACTAACCACTAGCATGTAAAAATGTACTGTCTTCAGGTAACGTCCGATTGCAACCAGCGCTCCTATAGCACCTCATCAGGTACTGTGTGTGCGCACTGTGCATGTCTTACCTTGTGACTTGTGTATTGCATTGAGTAAAGTTAGATTTTGCCACTATAAGTTACTTCTACAAGGAAACTGCTTCCGTTTTTCCAATTGCATATTTCTTTTTAATTTCCAAGGATGTTTTCCCTTTCTGAAATAAATGTGTTTGGCAGCCTGGGTGGAAGCTTGGTGTTGGGGATGTAGCTGTTCGTTTTAGCATTCATCAGCATGGAAGCTAATTGATTATCCACTGAAATCTCCTTTATGTCTTTCAACTTAGATCTTAGATCTTACAGTTCTTTTTTCTTTAATGTCTTTTGCAGTCTCTTTATTTAACTTACAGATGCAGGTTACAGAACTTTGGAATTTTTTTTCATGTTGGCATACGATGTACTAGGACAATGTGGTGTTTGCATCTTGGGATAACAACATATGTGTCTACCTCACATAGCAGATAGATAAATACATATATAGGGTAACAAAGTGAGTTTTGTAGTCTGGTCTCTTTCTGTAGGTGGATAGAAAGGGTATATATTCTTGGGGGCAAAGGGGAGGTATGGCTTTATTTTTCTTTTCCCCTTTTTCCACTTCCCTGTGTGCTACAGCTTTTTGTATTTACCCTATTTAGGTTCTGTACTGTGTGAAGTTGTTCTTGCTTTCAAATCCTGCTTCAGGCCTTCATTAGAACTGTACTTGGAGGTCACCTGGATTGTTGGCCTTCATGTTTTAAGTCCTTAAAATCACAGCTGAAAACAGTCTTGTTAGCTTGCAGCTAGGAGCATGGTAGTGCAGAAGCTGAACTGGAATGAAAGGCCCCAGAAAGGCTCCAATAATACTAACATGTAGCTGGCCAAAAATACATGCCCCAAACCTTGTGTGCACCTTCAAGAATGCAGATGTTTACTTGGATAAATGGGCAACTTTCTCTTCAAATAGCTTTTTAGCTGAGACTGACTGCACAGGGCACTACTTCTACACATTTGATAAAAATACTCTGTAGAGCGTAATTTTTCTTGATTATTCTGAGACTATGTTACTGCCAATTTTGCTCGCCTATGAATGAAACGCATAAAATGAGTGCTTACATATTGCAAGATATTTATGCAAGTGTATGCTTAATTGGGATCTGTGCTGGCTGTTACGGATACTAGTTACACATGAAAACTGATAAAGTTTACTTGTTGCTTGTGTTCATAGTATGAGGAGTTCACAAAAACTGATAGCATTTATAGACCTGTAATATTAATTTTCAGTAGTTTTTCTTAGGGAAATTGGAGAACTGAATGAAAGGTGAGCTTAATTTAATAAGGGTAAATTGTACATAGTGGATGGTGTATTCCTGTCCCTCTAATAAGGAGATAAGTTGATGTATGTACATTTAAGGGAGCAGGAATTAAAATGAAATTTACAGTATGACTCTGTTGGGTTTTTTTTTTTCAGGGCAGGATACGTTTAAGTTGCTGCAAGTAGAGATCACAGAGAGCCTAGAATAAGTTCCCTCACTTAGTTAAAATGCCAGAGAACAGTGTCAGGAGCTGTGCTCTAGCGAGAGGAGCATGGAACAAACGGCTTGTCCCAGACGTGCTCTCCCACCTCCTCCCATGACTGTTATGTACAGCACTGGTAGAAAGATCTTGGGGGGTGGTTGAGGGGGGTGGCAGGCTGCCTTTGTTTTAAATATAAAACAGCGCAGTTAGCTTTTTTTTTTATGTCATTTTATTCAACTGAAGTATAATAAAATAAACTGTTTACTGAGCTTACTTGCATATTGCAGTCAACTAGTGACACGTGGCTACCATCTAGTGGTAGCTGCCCAAGTTGCATAAAGTTGCTGTCTTGAGGCCACCTAGTGGCCAGATCTGTTTGTTTGGGGGGTTGGTTTGGTTTAGGAGCTTGGTGCAAGTTACAAACCTCTTTCCCATCGAAGTTGTAAAGTACTGTTCTGTTTAGCACAACTAAATGGAATGAAACAATATAAAAACCAAAAGTGTTTTGTGTGAACAGGTGGATTTTTTGCTTTAGCACTTCATTCAGAAGCTTAGTGGAAAAATTTGGAAACCCACCTATTTTATTTCTAATATGTGGTAAAATTATATGTTTTAAGAGATTGGTGTTGCTCTTGAAATCTGTGATGATGTTGGTGGGCAAAGAATCTGCTTGCTGTGCTCAGGGCTGATGTTTGTCAGTTTCTGATTTTGAGGTAAATGAATATATTAGTGAATATATTAATTTTGCTATGAATGCGAAATGCAGCAAATTTTACTATCAGACCACTTAGTTTATTTTTTTCTTTTATGTATTTTTAAGTCAGCTGTGCCTTATATAGCACAGTAGAACCTTTTTAGAATGCCAGAGGAAGTTGTTAATAGGTGAGTTTCTCAGAGTGATTTTTTTGGGGAGTGATTGGGGGTGGTATGCACAACAAAAAGGAGGAGTTTCTGAGCTGTTTCTTTCCATTTTGAACACAGCTGTAACTGTCATGACCCAAAGAGTTTGGTTTTCATGCTTAATCTACCTGTGGTGGGAGTCTTCTGAATCATGTCTGATTGGCTCATCCTGGTTCATTATGTGAAGGAGGTTATTTTGGGCCCTAATAAAAGGCTTATATGGTTTTCCATTGTATTTAAGGAGTGCTTTAGAAATATCAACTAGCCTTTTCACCTGTGGGCCCCAGAAGGTATTGCAGAGCTCGATCTAGATTCTTTGAAACCACAGAAGGGAGTTTTGGATTATCCCTACGATCTAGGAAAGATGAATATTAATTTCATAGAATCATAGAATGTTTTGGGTTGGAAGGGACCCCTAGAGGTCATCTAGTCCAACCCCCCCGCAGGAGCAGGGACACCACTAACTAGATCAGGCTGCTCAGAGCCCCGTCCAACCTGGCCTTGAATG